TTAGCAGTACTACCACATTGTAGAAACGCTCGTGTCTGAATTTCTAACAGTGTCTGAAGCCTGTAAGGACGTTCGTGATTTGACGCCCAGGTAAGCACAGGAGGATCTGGTGGAACGAGAAGTTCAGGTTCCCGCTGTCGCCCCGCGAGTGCAGGGAGCTGGCCAAGGTCACGCTCAAGGTCATGGAGAGGGACAAGTTCGCCGAGGACACTCTGGTCGGCGAAATCAGGTACGTCGTACGTGCAAGAGACTCCATCCACCGTGCCCCGGTCCGACGACCTTGTGCAAGTGCGTTGCAGGGTGCATGTAGGCGAGATCATCAGGGAGGGCAGCGAGAGGGAGTTCCTGCAGATGAAGCCCGCCCCGTACAACATCGTGCTCCGGGACGGCACGTACAAGGGGGAGCTCAAGCTCGGCCTCAAGTTCCTCTCCGGCGTGAGCTCGGAGCAGCGGCCGGGAGAGCGCCGGCAGTGCGCGGCCGCGCCGCCGAGGCGGCCGTACGCGGTGTACACGCCCTTTCTGAACATCACGCTCCCGTGCGTCCCGTGGAGGAGGTTCTTCTTCTTCTGCACCCGCTCCAACAGATGGACGACGAGAGAATGATCACTGAAAACGCCCGTCGATGCGTTTCTTTTTTCCTTCTTTGGATTTGGAGGAGATCTCGTCAGCGTTTCTTGCCGTTTCTGTCAAAATGTGTCGAACTCCTTGAGCTGTGGCCGTGAAAGATGTAACTGTACCGGTGCATACGTAGTTTGGAGGATATAAGTTAAGCTTTTGTTTGGATTAATAAAAAAATTCTAGCAGCAACATTCAGATTATATATAATTAAGATGAATAGAAAGGAAATATCCAGAGCAGTTCTCCCCACTTTTATAAACGAGGTTCGGCTCCTCTTTTCTCACCCGCAGGCCTCATTTGACAGAAAGGGATCATGGAAGTTTTGAGAGGAGGGGATTTCAACGGATTTGGTGAATCCCCCTCTTTCACCCAATCCCCTTAAAACCTCCAGCCAATCCCTCTCCAGCCACACATCCCCTCCATGCAGAACATTGTTTGACAGGGATGAATTTCCATATTGAATTAAAATGGTGTAAAACAGTTAAAAATCTAATCTTGCAACAATTCTTCACATTAACAACATAATTTGCTTGACTTGAAATCAATTTATGGATGGGGACCAAAATGAAGCATACTAAAGAAGGAACCAACAATATCAGTATCCACTGAAACAAAGGGACAGTGGATCAATTTGACCTACTACGCAGGCGGGACAAACCACACTTTAATTATTTAAATCCCTCTAATTATTTACTGTCATCTAGGATCTTGCTTCTAGTCCAGAACTTTGGGTTTTTTTTATTTATGTTGATAGATAAAACTAAACATTGTTCATGTGCAAAAGTTCATCCAGGGACCTTGCTTTACTGTCAATGTAAAAGCTCATCCAGAAACACCATAATTTCTGTCAACACGAAAACCTACACTTCTATCAAAATTCAAATCAAGGTACTGGTTCTCACAAGAGTCGGGTTCCAATGATTTTCAGGAGAGGAGAGGGATGGCCATGGAGGCAGCCAGTCTCATCGATGGACGCAGCAAACTGTTGCAGATCGAAGCCATGGCCGCTGGGTGTCGGAGGAGGAGCAAGAAGAGTCAGCTCTAGGGTTTGCAGGGGAGGGGATGGAGAAGTGGAGGAATCACATCGGGAATAACCGGCGGAGGACATTGACGCTCTGGCGGCGACGGGGCGGTGAAGATCCAGCGGCAGGGCGGCTCCTCTCAGTGGCGGCGAGGGCGTTGCTTTGCCCATCTCGTTCGGGCAACGGCGGCGCGAGGAGGAGGCTCCGGCCGACGGCGGCGCGTCAGGAGGAGGCCGCTGCCGACGGCGGCGCGAGGAGCAGGCTCCAGTCTCGCGCATGGCTCCAAATCCGCGAGTGCCTCCTCGTGCCTTTTGACCCGCATGGGTCGAGGTGAATCGAGGGGGGGTCAGGTGGATTGGGCCAACGAAACCTCGCATACCAAACTGCGCCCCTCGTGGATTCTCCTCTGAAATCCCCTCCACCCCTCGCCTACCAAATGAGGCCGCAGGGTTGCCGCTTTTATAAATGAGTTTCGACTCCTCGTTTCTATTGTAAATCCAACCGAACATGCGCATGATAAGCAGGGTACCGGCCGCTGGATTTTCAGGTCGTGCATAGGTCGGGCAGAAACATCGTCTGTGGAGCAGTTTCGTTTCTATTGCAAGGATGTCTTCTCGTCTTTCAATCATGTCCTAGATACAACAGTGGATCCACCTGAGCTGTGGGCTGTGGCCGTGACAGATGTAACTGTTCCAGTGCATTCTCGCCGATACGCATGTGATGGTATAGGTTTTTTTCAATTGTTTGGAGGATATAAGATAAGCTTTTGTTTGGATTAATAAAAATATCTGGCAGTAACATTCAGATTATATAACGGTAATGATAGATCCTGAACGTTCGGATTTTAAGCATGGTAACTCGAACGTTCTTCATGCCAACTTTAGTTGGCGCAGGGTTGGCAAACATGACAATTTTTTTAGGAAGAAACGAATGAAGACAAAGCCATGATTTAACAACTAAATTTGTCATCTAATGTCAACTAAGTTGCCATGAAAAAAGGTTCGGGATGACATGCTCAAAATCCGAACATTCGGAATTTATCGAAGTCCTTATATAGTTATGAAAAAAAAGTACAAAGGAAATGTCGATATGGGGCAATTCTCCCCGCTTTTGTAAACGAGTTTCGGCTCCTCTTTTCTCTCCTGCAGGGTTGCTGCGTGCAACGGAGAGTCGTGTCATGCTGAATTCTCTTTTATGATATACTCCTTTCATTACAAAATGTAAGGTGTATTCGCTTTTTAGTTAGAGGTGTATTACTCTTAAAAAAGTCAAACATGTACAGGTTTGATTAAGTTCATAGAAAAAATAATCAATACTACTGTACCAAACTTTTATCATTACGTCTATCATGAAAAGTATTTTATATTTTATTTATTATGTATTGTAGATATCGATATTTTATTTTATACTCTTGGTCAAACATACATAAATTTAACCTGCATGAAATTCGATACACCTTATATTCCGAAACAGAGGGAGTACCTATCTAAATGTTATCCTCTCCATCCCATAATATAAGGTTGCAATATCATCTTATATTATGGTAGAAACGACAAACAATTTTGCTTACTAAAAAACACATGTGTACACTTTCAGCGAACGTTCCAGAGTTGCCATGCCTTTGTATAAGAATTTGTCAAAGTAAAAATTGCCATGTTGTATAGAAGATTGTCAATTTTTTGGCATATTGCATTAGAGTAATTGCCATGCGTTTTCAGAAATTTGTCATGATTGCAACATAGAGCCTAAAGAAATGATGAAAAAAAATCATACTTAGGATTTTGCCATGCTGGCCGAAGGAAATTACCATGCAACATCAAGGAAATTGTCATTGTCTGAAAATTAAAATTTTCACTAGAATGTGTTCACTCAGATTGCCAGTGAACGAAACCATTTTAGTAAGTACAATAACTATGACATGAACAAAACTTGGAAGCAAATGACATCAACAAGGATTATGATAATTGATTGGCATATAAAACTGAAGTACATGCATAATATATTCAACATCATACCGAAGGACGGGATCATTAGATTATATAATTAATAGCTCACAGGGTGAAAGCAAGAACATTTTAGGATGGTCACAGTGGGAAGTAACTTATACTAGTGTCATCCATATGACATTAGCCTGAGTTATTATCTTCATAATGTAAAATAACATAGTAGTAGTGTCATAGATGACTTCATTTATTAGCTTATAGACTCATCCTGTATTGGAAAATGCTATGTTACAGTAACATATTATGTTATTACCTGCCACATGAGCAAATTTTTTTTGAAGTGCGTTATGTTACTAGCTAAGTTACTTTCACTATGACTAGCCTTAGGATTCACGCATGGGATCTGATGTGCTTGATGACGTTCACTCGGAAACGCTAAATCCGATGTTAGATTTGTAACATTTTCGCTTTTTGCTATTTTATGATGGGTGATTAATCTTTTTTAGGGCCTTTCGTTTTGACCGTGCACTTTGCATCGAACGGCGCAAAACATCGTTTGGGGACCCAAAGAAAAAGGCGCAGCGTGCCCACGTTTGTCCGGGTTGCCCAATTGACGCTGCTGGCTGCGGCCGCACATCGGTGAGCGGCACAGCGACAGCCTCGAAACAGCCAGAAAATCCATGGAGATGGACCTGGAAGCCCAAGCTCCCATGACGCCGCGCCCGTGACCTCTCCGCCTCGCAAGCTTGTGGAGCCAGAGGGGGGCGGAGAAGCGGCGGAGGCTAGGTCGTCGCACCTCTCCTCCTCCTCCTCCTCCTCCCCTCCCCTCCCGTGAAGCGCGAACTGTTGCGAAGCCGCCATCGGGCATCGGGAGCTGAGCTCCAGTCCAGCCACCGCAAGGTAAGACAAGCTTTTTAACCCTTCGGAGGGCGTTCCTTTCATTCGCTTGGATCAAATCGGGTGCCGGTCTCCGCGCACACAAGCTGTTCGACGAAACGTCTGTTAGGACCAGGGATTATATAGCTTGCGAGTTAAAGATTCGGGGTCTGTTCTATGACATGTCTCGCAGAATGGAGTACTTTGGGGTTGGAGCATGGCAATTACTGCTCATGTTGTTGTCTCAAATTCGCAGCGGGTACAAGGCATAAAGGCGTCTTTCGGATTTAGGGACATTTATACCACAATCCATTTGCTAATCGGTCGCTCTTTGGGCTTAGCCACTATTGTTAGTACCTAGCTCAAAGGTCTAGTCAGATGATCTCCCATGAAACATACTCTTTGCTTAGTACCATATGAGAGCTGTTTTGCTATGCTAATTTTGCCTTTTCTGCTTCCTGCCTCTTGCAGATCCCAGTCAGATGATTAGTTGACTTCTTCTTCATGAACGAACAGCTAACTTGCTGCATGCTTGTCAGAGATGAGCTCAAATCGTAGAGCTTCAAAAGCTCGAAAATCAACAACTAATTACTACCGGCTTCCATTTGATAAGCACCGATTATTTGATCCAGATGCATTTCTTTCAAAGGATCGTTGTGCCAATCAATCACAAAGTACTCAATCAGGCAGCAGACATACTGATAAACTATTCACTACTCCTCAGTTAGTATCTGCATTGACAGGGATCTGGAATCTTGTTGGGCACCCAGAATCTTCTGGCACAACAGATCAAAGATCTGTGAGCGAGGATATTTTGCACACGGAAGACCCTGTGTGCTTTACTAGGGACCGAGAAGGACACACATTGACATCTTGCAGCGAAAGCTCAACTGGCCTCAACTCTCAAACCTGTTTATCAACACCAAAATCAATCCATGAAGATCTTAGATTGCTGAAGAAGATGTTAATGCTCCGATCACGCAGCAACATGATCGGTGCTTCTGCCACATGGAGACATATGCATCTTACCAGTAAACTTGGGAACATGCATTATCAAAATATATACCCCATGCAAACCAAAAAGCTAGGAGCTTGTGCTACTTCCAGCAGTATGGAAATCAAGGAGGGCGACTGCTTCGGAAGGGGTGATAACTGTTGCAATCAAACAGGAGACATGCCAGCTGAACAATGCACGAGCTCAAGTGAGGAGGATAATATCACGTATGCCTGTGAAAATTCTCTACACGATGAGAAATTAAACACAGAGGTTTCTAGAGAATACTCCAATATGTCTGCTTGTTCATCAGAGCAGGTTTGCAAAGAGGCAAGGATAATGCTGGAAAATCAGATTTCCAGCACATGTGAACATATTCGGCCTGAAGGGTTGACATGCACATCTTGTGTGGTTGGTGATGCTATTGTTAACCCACCAAATGTACACCAATATACATACGGGGAAGATGTATCTCAGCAGCATTTTGTAGACAAGCGTTCATCAGAGTTTGAATCATCCTTGGGGCATCGATTTCATGGTCCTGTTGGTGCGAACAAGCATGCTGCTGCAGGAGCACTAGCTGGGACAGTTGTCAGTATCTCTCTGCATCCAGTTGATACGGTGAAAACCATTATTCAGGCTAACAGTTCTGGGCAAAGCTCATTCTACCACATACTAAGACGCACCCTTGTTGAGAGAGGTAAAATTTTGGGTGTATTTACACACACTGAGATGCTATCAATAGGTTTATCATATTTCCATGTCCTTTTCCCTATTGTCAAACATTAATTACTAGATTTTTTCATGCTTGGCAAATATTTTCTACAGGTGTCTTAGGACTTTATGGAGGGCTTGCTAGCAAAATTGCTTGTTCTGCACCAATTTCAGCTATTTATACCCTAACTTACGAAATAGTAAAGGGGTCACTTCTTCCTACTTTGCCGAAGGTGATTTCAGTTTTATTTTGCAATTGATATCCAACTAGTGTAACATTCATACACACTTTGATCTTATACATTGACATCTCTTCAGGACTACCATTCCATTGCTCATTGTGCTGCGGGTGGTTGTTCTAGTATTGCAACCTCCTTTATTTTTACACCAAGCGAATGCATAAAACAACAGATGCAAGTCGGCTCGCAGTATCAGAATTGCTGGTATTTAATTTCCATGCTTCTCCTTGGGTTATTCATTCGTTTTCTTTCTTTATTTAGAAGCTTTTTGCTTTTTGCTGATAAATAAGAAGAAATGACAAAAACATACTCTCTCCGTCCCAAAATGAGTGTCGCTGATTTAGTACAACTTAGCACAAAGTTGTACTAAACCAGTGACACTTATTTTGGGACAGAGGGAGTATTAATTTATCAGCCCTAGTTCTGCATCCTGACAATAACCTGCTATTTATATTGAAAAATGACAATAACCTGACTCCACGTTGCTTGTTGAAATTATTTGGCAACATTGCCCGGAGTTCACCATACTCTTCTTCACGCTCTAATAAGAGTTTCATGCCATCAGGAAGGCTTTAGTTGGATGTCTACAAAGGGGTGGCATTGCTTCGTTATATGCTGGATGGGGGGCTGTTCTTTGCAGAAATATTCCACATTCTATAGTAAAGGTATCTTTACGAACAGTTACAGTTTACTCCCTAGTCCCAAATTTTAATTCTACATCTGCTTTGCTGTTTTATTTTGGTGTTCACTTATTTTGGAATTTCCAGTTTTATGCCTACGAGAGTCTGAAGCAATTTCTGTTGAATGCATCACCTGCTAATGCTAAACTCAATTCTGGCCAGACGGTTAGTTCCTGAACCTCAACTTGTTAAACCATCTTATATATGTGTTTCATTATTCAATACTGAACCGGTACTGTTTGGCCTGTTCCCATCACTAAATTCAGTTTTCGAATGATGCCACTTACCTTTGATATAAATGTTAATACTTCAGGTCGAGCCTAATTCAACTACACATTCCGATTTTAGTGTGGTATAAACTCCCTTTTTTCTTTGTATTGCAGCTCATTTGTGGAGGTTTTGCAGGATCAACTGCTGCTCTGTTTACAAATCCATTCGATGTTGTGAAGACACGAGTACAGTTACAGGTGCAACACATGCTTATGCCACAAATTTGGTGAACCCTTTTACTCAAGAAAAAAACATGCTCATGCCACACCCCAGTTTGTATATATCAGCACAAGTAACTTACAGTTTAAGTTTTATCTATTTTGATTTGTTATTGAATGGAAAAGCTCACGCCACTTCATCAAACTCCTGCATAAAGCGCACTTTTCAACCCTGAACCCTAAAACCATCTAATTGCAATCTCAAACTGTCGAAACAGTCCACTTTTTAGTCTCAGATGATTCCGTAATGACGTGGATGCCATTGTTTTGACTATATGACACCTGAAATTCCATTATGAGCAGATAATTCTGCAGGAGCAGGTGAGTTGGCACTTACTATGAGATAGAGAAACATTACCTAGAGTTCATGGCTCACTAAGAGCTAGTTTGGTTCGTGTCCTCGTGACAACTCGCCTGACCTGGAGCGTGCCTGTATGTTGCCTGGGTATTGTTTGGTGCTACCCTGAAAAAGCCTGTACTTGCCTGGACTAGAACACCACACACGTGATTAGCCTGGATGGGATGTGGATAGAGGAGCCAGGCAAGGGGTTAGCCTGGCCCAGGCTTCAAAATTCCAGCGCCTGGCAAGCCATAATGGCTGCCTGGGACTGCATGTACGAAGTTGCTCGCGGTACAAAGGCAGATGAATTGATTTTTTTAAGTCTAATCACTCTCCAGGCCAGGCCCAAAATCCAAACAACTTCTGTCCAGGCCAGCCTGACCAGGCAGAAAAGTTTAAAAGACCAGGCTGAAACCAGGCAAGGTATTTCTCCAGGCATGCAGGCGAGGCCACAAACCAAACAGACCCTAAATGCCTTGAGGGCCAAGTCGTTTCTTGAAGGGGAAGGTAGTGTCTAGATCTGAGAATCAAATTATGTTTGTTCAGATTTTGTTTCTATTTGGATTTTGGAGTAAGGAAGAAGGTTCTGACTAGCTAGGAGCCTAGGACCCATAACGAAGTTCCAAACAGACCAATCTTGTTAGGAGGTACTGCCCAACAAAAAGAAAATTTGACTTCTGGATCAGGAATAATAAATAAAATAAGAAGATGATAAAAATCCTATACGGAAACGACTTCTGGCATCACCAGTGGGATCCGAACCACATTTTCGTAGGCCGACTCCAGTTTTTCTAGGCAGAGATAGTATATCCTTGATTTAGCACATTTGTGTTTGTAGGAAGATTCCTCGTTCTGAAATAAAGTCTATTTGGAGCTTCTTCCAGTTGTTCTCCATGTCACTCCATGAACAACCGCACACTATGACAAACAAACAATCAAGAACAAAATTCATCATTTGGATAACAAATTTACAGCAATTCTGTTATAAATGGATGAAATTTGTCACAAATAGATCAAAAACCGGAGTTGATACATGGCAGTGAGGTTGTTGCCATGTGGCATCCACGACACTCAATACCATTTGCCAAACCACCAGCGGGCAGAGGGCGAAAAGTGGACTGTTTCATTTGTTTGATGTTGTATTCCAACAATTTTAGAGTTCAAGATTGAAAATAAGCCTTTTCCAGAGTCCAAGGTCAAAAAACGGAAACTGGACCCTTTCTTTTAATTTCATTATAATGAAACTTGTTGAGATGGAAAAGCTTGGTTAGATCTTTTGTTTTTCCTATCACTTCTAATGGCTTGTTTCCTTCAATTCTTCAAATCAAAAGTGAAGTAATAGTTGGTGCAGGACTAATTCTGAATTGATTCATGTTCATTAGGCTCTCAGCCCTGTTAGAAAGTATGAAGGGGTTCTTCATGCCCTTGCGCACATTTTTGAGCAAGAAGGGTTACGAGGTCTTTACAGGTACGATCATTTATACACGATATTATAGACTTACCATCTTACTGGATGCAAATCCATACTCGTTTGTGTCATTGTTACTGCGAGCATGCAAATTATCAACATCTTTTTTTCCAGGGGTTTAAGCCCAAGGCTGCTCATGTATGTATCCCAAGGGGCGCTGTTTTTTACATCCTATGAGTTTCTCAAAACAATTATGTTTCCTGAACAAGAGCTTCAGGCAAACAACATCTGATCGTAGAAGCTTAGAAGGGAAGGGATCGTTGCAGCCCGGTGGAATTTCTGGGTCGATACCATGAGCTAAGTAATGAATTGTTGTATTGTGGTTACAAACCATCATTCAGAGGTCCTGTAACAAACTAGTGTACATCATTTTTGGATACGTAGGCATTAGACAACCACACTTGGGTATTAACCTTTTTCTGGCAGGTAGAAACACAACATGTAGGCAAGAGGAATTTTGTATCATGAGCAAACTTGAGATGTAGATTTCCTTGCGGGAGGACATGTGAATATGAGTGTATCCTGGTTTTGTGTTCTTGCAGGGGGGAAAGGTGTCACTGAATTGTTAACGTTAATGTTTCATGGGTGCTGGGAGGGAGAGAGCTTGGGGCCACGGAGGAGGTTATGTAGGAGGGGATCACAAGGAGGTTTAGGGTGCTTGAATGTTGAATCGCACTAGAACAAGTAGCGAGAGCAGTCTACGCGGACAGCAACTCTCGCTAGCTCATCCATCTAAGAAAAAAACTCTAGCTAGCAGTTTTTCTAAAACTTTTTGGAGCGTATATCTAGGTAGCTCGGTCGCGTGCTCGAAACCCCACCCCGCAGCGCTCTCGTTCTCACCCGATCATTTTTTCTTTTTTCTTTTTCTAGCTTCTATCAATTGCGTCAATTTATTGAATATTTTTTCTTTCGATTCTGTCAATTGCGCAGATCCAACGGTCAACCATCCGAGATGATTTCAATTTTTTGTTTTCTTTCTCTCGCTTCTATAGATTGCGCACATCCAACGATGCAACGCAACAAGTATGGACGAGCAATGTATATTTTCCTTCTACCTTCTCTTCTTCGCAGTGGTCTGGTGGTGTCAGTTCTTTTCTTTTTCATCCATTCAGATGATTTCAATTTTGAAAAAAACGAGCCTGTTGCCACGTCTTCTTTTCTCTCGCTTCTCAGTCATCAGATCCAATTACTGTGAATAGGAGCTTGAATTCGCGGCTCTGATGTGCAGCGTTCAAAGTAGTAAAGCATCATATTTCATAAATGTGAAAGCCTAGCTTAATAGAAATGATAGACTACTTATATTAACGAGGAATTCCTTCTTTTCTAGGAGCCCATTCGAAAAGAATTTCAAAGTTAAGCGTGCTTGGCTCGGGGTCATTTTAGAATGGATGACCGATCGGGAAGTAGCTCCCGGGTGCGCACGAGTGAGGACAAAGACCGGTGTTGGTCTGTGGGGCCAGTCCTCATCCTGTCGGGCGTAACAGGGTGTTACAATTTGGTATCAGAGCCGACCCTCACAGTTACACGGACATGTACGGGTCAGGTGCGTGGGCATGTGGCCCGTTGTAGCACACGGCATGGCACTTGTGCTGGACTGGACACGCATACGTGTGCCAAGAGGGAACGTTTTTGATGGGCCGACGAGGACGTCGGTTCCTTTGAGTGGGGGTGTATGTGAAAGCCTAGCTTAATAGTAATGATAGACTACTCATATCAATAAGAAATTCCTTCCTTTCCAGAAGCTCATTCGAAAAGAATTCTAAAGTTAAGCGTGCTTGGCGATGGGTGGCCAACCGGTAAGTAGCTCCCGGGTGCGCATGAGTGAAGACAAAGACTAGTGTTGGTCTGTGAGACCAGTCTTGATCCCGCCGGGCGTAACAAGGTGTCACAACAAACTCCTATATTGTTATAAATTCCAAAATCTAGAGCCAACTATCAAGTCTATTCATTTTACAATCTGTGCACTCTATTAAATAAAGAGTATAGTGCGAATCAACCTGTGATTGAGTTGGTTAGATGGACAGTGGTATCCCCAACCCACCAGGGTTCAAATCCTGGTGCTCGCATTATTCCTAGATTTATTTCAGGATTTCCGGTGATGCGCTTTCGGTGAGAGGAGACGTTCCCGTCGACGACGAGGTGCCTACGGTGATTTCATAAATCTCAAGATGATATGCTGGCTCAGTTTTTCGGAGGTGCTCATAAGGAGTTCATAGAGGAGAGTGTATGCGCATGTATATGAGCGGTTGTGTCTGTACTGATGCTAAAAGAAAGAATACAGTGTACTTGGGTGACCATAATGATGGAATTGTCCTTTTTGCTACAAATAGACAATCGGATATCTCTTGGCGGTTTTCGCAACAAGAAAAGGGAAATCTCTTCGTGGCTTCAAATGTTTCTTTTTGCAAAAATAATTCATATATATTATGAAATTTCACCGAAAGTGCAAAAGCACCTTAAACATAATAAAAATTACACTGAGATTTCGAGACCACCTAACGACCACTACTGCTGGTAGAACGAGCCGCCGACGCGCCGCTGTCATCGCTCCTCTGCCAGAGTCGGCCTGACCTTGTCGATGATAGCCAGGAAGTCTTGATGCACGCGCCCCTAAGGACCAACGCCTTGGAGCCCCAGTCATCGTTGTTGAACCCTTGAACAGATCTGAATCACTTGACACCAAATTTCGCCACACGGCAACAAACCCTAACCTAACTGTGCCAAGAAAACGGTAGAAATCTACACCAGAGCTCCGTCGACTATGTCCAGACGAAAGGATCCAAACCCGAAAGACAAACTTGAAGAAGAATCTCCGCCCTCCGCCCGAGCACCGCTCCTACGAGAACTAAAGAATCCTAATCTAAACTACTAGCCAGAGTGAAGGCACCGGGATTCTCTCCCAGCCATTGGCCGCCGAAGCAGCAGGCAGAGAGGAGGCGAATCGTCAGGCTCGCTGCTGAAGTGTGGAGGGAAGAGTTTATCCTAGCCGCTAAGGGATAGGGGAGGAAAAGCTACAGAAAGATCTCCCAATGCATCTGCTTCAAATGATTTGGATAGCTGACCCAATTAAATCGTTTAGAAAGCTGTCATTGGCAGCAACATATTCTTCATCCTTGCCGCGAACTGTATCAATCATCAATAATCTTACACTTTCTTCTTGTGTTAGGGGTGTTTGTTTACAGAGACTTATTGATGTAGGGACTTAAAAAAGTCTCTTTTAGTCCCATCTAAACCAAATAAGAAGGTTTTTTTTACGGGTGAAACATGAGGGACTTATAGGGACTTAAAGTGGGCATTTAAGACTTATGAAAGAAGACCCTCAAGGAGAGTCTTTTTGAGACTTTTAGTTGTAACATGGTCTTTTAGTCTATATTTAGTCCCATATACCACACAGGTAGGGATTTTTTAGGGACTAACGACTTTTTAGTTGGGCCTAAAAAAATCCTAGAACTTATGAACCAAACATGGCCTTCCTCAGCTGCTTCTCGGAGGTTAAACATGCAGCCGCAGCACCATATTCCCAAATTAATGTATTCCCAAATTAATCTCATGCATGTACTTTCCTAAAAAAAATCTCATGCATGTACTGCCATCCAGCAAACAATTTTTTTTTGAACAAAGCAAGGCACCCAGAGGGTGCCCAATTTCATTTCCAGCATTGACCATAGTACAGGAGATATTACATTGGCCTAAAGATTAGAAGAGGAGAACAGCCAAAACAGAGTTGCTGGAGGAAGAAGCAAAGATAGGTTGAAAGGAGATCAACCAGATGAACATCTACTAGCTTAGAAAGAAAAGAAGAAACATAGGGAGTGCTAAAGATACATAAAGTCCTTCACATAGAGACCATCTGATCAGAAGGAAGCACATGTAGCGCAGAGTGACAAGTGATCTCTCGGAGAAATAGCGAATCCTCGTCCTGTTAAATGTGATAGTATCCTGAGAATATCTTTTGGAAAGAAAAGTCATAGAGATTTTAATCTGCAAAATTAGTACAGGATATTAGAAGCAGTACACCTTATGTAGATGAAAACCTGAAAGAGCAATGTTCTGCAAGGAAGAAATAACAGGGCAAGGAGCATTTGTATGGGAATTATGGGAACAGTCCATAAGCGCTCCGTAGTTGTTCTGAAAGACCTGCTTTGCAAGATTATGAGCCACCCCATTGTTATTCCTAGAAATATGAAAAATCTGAGCCTGCATATGAGACGTTAAGTTGAGAATATCAGCTAGATTTTTCCTAATATTCCAGGGCGCAGCAGAATGCAAGAAGTTCCTGGCAGCAATCACAGAAGCAAGTGTAAGACAATCTGTTAAGAAGACAGGATGTTGAATCTGCAGAATGTTCGTCAGATGTGATGCAAACTCCAGTGCAAGAACTTCCGCATGGAGAGGACTTGTTGTTGGCAGAGCTGAGGCTTGGACCTGAATGTTTATTTCTCCTTGGGATAAAGGAAGACAGAAATACACCCCAATGCCTGTTCGAGGCTGCCCATAGTAAATGCTTGTTCGAGGCTGCCCATAGTAAATGCCTGAAGCTTTTTTAGTTTTAAAAGCAGCATCAGTGTAGATTTTTGGACCTTTCATGAGCATAATAGACTTAATGGTGCTACCTTGAGGGGGCAAATGTTGCAACACATTCTGGTTGTTGGGGTTATTAGGTTTGCTCAAATCTAGCAGGGAATCATTTTGCAAGTAATGATCCAAGGCAGCAGCTAAAATATGAACCTGGTAAGGTTGGTGCTTCTTACGCTCAAACAGGAAGTCGTTTCTAATTTTCCACATGCATCATAAGAAATTAAGAATATTTTTTAAAGAAGCATGAGGGTGATTAAAGGAGAGAAGACGAGCAATAACCAAATGCACAGAATTGAGGCCCTGAACTATAGCATGTGATCTAATAAACCAGGGCTTAGAGAACCAGGCTGCCCTAGCAAAGTCACAAAGGAAAAAAAGATGCAAATCATCCTCCTGCATGCCACATCTGGAGCAAATCTGAGAAATATGAACAGAAAAATGACCCGCTCTCATACCTGTTGGCAGAGCTCTTCTCAACAGTCTCCAAGCGAAAGTTTGAACCTTTGGCAATAGGTTTTTATCACGCCAAATAGTCGTAAGCAAGTTCTTGACCTCCGAGGACACCTGCATTGGAGCTGTAACAGAATTGTTGTGTATCTCCTGCAAACAAAGCTTGTAAGCAGATTTAGGAGAACAAAAGCCATTAGTGGCCAAAGGCCAGGAAAGAGGATCGTCGATGTCGTCGTGAATAATGTCTATAGCAACCACCTGAGAAGCAAAAGTTTGATCAAACAGATTAAAAATAAGGTCATGGTTCCAAGCTTTCTGTCCTGGGAGCCACAGGTCATTAACCAAAGAAGGATAAACAAATCCTGTGGTTTGAGGAATAAGAAAATCATGAATAGATCTCCAAAGAGGACACCAAGGCATGCTCCATAAAGAAATGTTGCCTTTAGTAAGCTGATAGAAGGCATGCTGAGTAAGCCTGGGAAGCATTTTTAAAATTGAAGCCCAAAAACCAGACTTAGGAGGAGAAGAAGTTGCCCTCCAGATTGTAGTAGTAGGGAAATACTTAGCCCGAAGAATACAGTATAAGTGAGAAGAGGGGTTGTTTGCTAACCTCCAAGCTGCCGCAATGATGAGACTTTCATTGATGGCTTTAAGATTTCTAATCCCTAGATCTCCTTCTTCTTTTGAATTTGCTATATCTTTCCAAGCTCTGAGACACAGTCCTTTCCTTGAGCCATCTTCCCTAATACCTGTCCACCAAAAAGTTCTAATGATAGCTGTGAGCTTAGCAATAAGCTTTTTGGAGAACAAAATGTTTGCCATGTAATAGACCGGAATAGCAGAAAAAACAGACCTAATAAGTTCCAGGCGAGCTGCATGGGAGAGCATATTAGCTTTGTAAGAAGGCAGCTTGTTAGAGAACTTGTCAATCACAAAGTTGTAAGCAGAGGCTCTATTTTTAGCAGGTAAAATCAAAGGATGACCAAGGTGGATGAATCTATCATCAAGATTAGCAACTCGGAAAATTTGTTTAATATTAGTAATAACATTTTGAGGAGTATGAGTGCTAAACAAAATAGCAGATTTGTCCCAATTAGGAGTTTGACCGGAAAGGGAACAAAAGTGCTGAATCAAATCTGACATAGTCTGAGCCTCCTGTGTAGTAGCCTGACCACAGACTAAAAGGTCATCTGCAAAAAGGAGAGAATGAATAGGAGGGCAATTTGGGCCTAGAGAAATGCCTTGCAAATGATTGTCCTAAGCAGCTTCATTAAGCATGATAGAAAGTTCATTGATGGCAAGAACAAAAAGGTAAGGAGACATGGGACAACCCTGTCTGATACCTCCGTGAGACTTAAATTTGGGAGACGGCTGACCATTAATGAGGACAGAGAAAATGGGTGAGGAAATGCAAGCATGCACAAGATTGATGAAATGACCATGTAGCCCTTTA